AGAAGAGCAATGGAGGTTGCCTTGAGCTCTTTTCCTCTGTTGAGCTGGATCACAGCTTTGAGCATTTTTGCAGTGGTTTACTGATGAAAGAACTGGTCGGTGGCACACGGTAACACCTTGCAACGTTACCGTGTCTGTTCTCCCCCTGCCACACCTATTGGCCGCATTAAAATGTTATTTCCTTGGTCCCAAAGAGGACAGTAAATGCGAGAGGTGAGTGGGGTAAGGATGGCAGTACCGTATGAAAGCACAGCTCAGGGTTCTGTTCACTTTGTCTCTAACATAAAGTTCACACCAAAGTAATCTGGGTTCACATCTATTTACTGTCTCTCCTGATTTAGCTCAATTAACTGTAGCTGAGCAGTAAGTTAATTTTTCTTCATGCATTTGTATTCAGGAAGCACTTTGGAGCTGTAACAGAGATCAGAGCCCCATTGTTTTAGTCACTGTTTGCATACATCCTAAGAGCTTAAATCTCTTTTACTGAGCCAACCTATTTTGTCTTGCATTGTTGTGGGCTTAGCTGACATGCAGTCAGTCACTTGTTAAGCCACAGTAAGCTTTCTGCATGCGTTACCCCTGAGATTCATAGCCTTCCCTGCTGAGGTAACTGTGTTAAAGCCAAGAGAACACAGAAGCACGACAAGGTGAAGCAACTGACTGGCAAAAGAACTATCTCTTGGCCCTTAATGTTTATGACTGACAGATTTAAATTCATACCTAACATGAGCTAGATTTCCAAGGCAGGACAGCAAATCTGAGTGACATGAATGCTAATCTAGGGGAGGGGGTCTTTTGGAAGAGAAGCTTCTCCCGACTCTTCATGTACATGATTGATCCTCACGGCTTCTCTCGAAGAGTAGGGTAGTTTCTCTTGGGGTCTAGACCCAGTCCAGCTGTCTCACTGTCATGCATGGATGTGCTGGTTGACTGCTGTCTCCTCCGAAGAGATGACTATGTTTTATCCTCACCCTAGAAAACATAGCTGTTGAAATATCTTTCCTGAAAAGCATGTTGCTCTGAGTTAATTTAAAAAAAAAAAAAATTGTCAGTATCATGCAGTTTAAGAAGTTGTCCAGGATGGGTTTACCCGTGACACCATGTCTTACTACTGTTATTGACAGAAATAAAACTGTATTGAATCCCTACCCACTTCAGCTGTACATACTAAAATGGATTAAGTAGATTTTTCCTTCACTAAAATCTTTTACTCTGCATTAATGAAATACGATTGGAAATGACAGTAGTTATCAGAAACACCTTAACTCTCCTTCGCTTTTCTGCCTCTAGCTGTTTTGATCAGTCACATGAAGGCCAATAGTCAAGGGATGTTGTGAACAGAGGGTTTATCCTTATTACAGATTCTATTGGGAAGCTGCCTTACAGCTACTGTTCACTGGGCTGCACTGTCTTCCACCACTGATGTTCTGTGGGTAAGGGGAAAGGCCAGCAGCCACCTCATTTCTTTTTCTTTCCTGGATCCCTTTATAGGCTCAATCATCTCATTAGCTGAGTGCCCTATAGTCTTTATTATATCAAACCTCTGAGTGGCCTTGGTAGAAATGGAAAAGGTGTTCTCCTTGTTCATGGAGGTGATGTGGAAATGCAGGGAGAGTGACTGATACCGTGGGCACGGAGAGGGGAATTGAATCCCACCCTGGGATTTCCCGTGCCTCTGCAGTGGCTGCTCAGCACCCCACTGATGGCTGACAGATTAGCAGAATGTATGCTCTGGGCAAAATCCCAGCTTTCTTTCCCCAAGAACACGGGCTCCACCCAAGGTGTTAAGCAGAGAGCAGTGATTACTCTCTACTCTAGCATGAGAGAGAGACCAGGGTCATCGTGAGAATGAGTAAATGTGATGGTCAGTGCTTGGGGCAGTGCAGCTGCACACTGCCCTTGAGCAGGGCTTGCGGCAGATTTGGTGTCTACGCCAATCGTAAACGTTACCTGTAGTTTTTTTTGTGTCAGTGAGATTTGTGCGACTGCTTATCAAGGAATGTCCAAAAAGACACTGACCGTTTTTTTTGCTAACTTTACACTGAGTGGTCTCCAGTTCTTAATGGTGGGCAGGAACCTTTTAAGATAAAGCAGAAGTCTTCAGCCACATTTGGGACAAACTGGAGTTTTATCTAGATCTCTGGAAGAATATCTTTTGGACTCTTCTTAGAATTAAGCTGCTTAATTCTCTACCGGTAACCTCATTGAATCAAATTGTTTTATAAGGAATTCCTGACCTTCCCAAATAGTTGTGCCTCCAATTATATTCACCTCTGTACAACTGAGGTGAAAAGGATTTTGAAATCTCTGTTGCTAGTCAGAGAATGATAACCCCCTCACTGAGATTTAAAGCAGATGTACTGCAGGCCACAAAGCAGCTGCACAGCCTGTAGGTCTTCTGCTGTGGCCCTGCAAATGGGCTTATCAGTCAGCATTAAGGACAAGATGATATGAATAAGATTATTTGCTTCTCAGTTTGGAATAAAGAAGATGTAAAGGGTCAGTGTAATAGAAAGCGCTTTAAGGGTTAAAGGTCCCCTACTTAGTAATCTAGCTTTACAGTGGTATAATGAATGATAGTCAATGTAAATAAAAGTTGTTTAGCACACTGGGATAGAAGGAGAGAGAGACAGAGATAGAGAAAGACATGATCCTATTCCCCAGCTGTTTTATTTCATTTAAAAGGTAAATGCACAATTTTCATTTTGCAGCAAGAACGATATTTGGAATGATTTTCATTTGCTTTGTGCCGGTTTAGACAGTTAAGAGAACTTTCTGTGTCAGTTAGCCTGATGTGAGGATTTAGTCCTTAGTCTGACTTGTAGCTTTTTTTTTTTTTTCCCTATCATGCAAAGTCAGAAACACATTTTTTCCCCTTTGTAGGGGCTTGAAGTATTATTTTCAAAAGACCAATTCAGACCAGTTGCACACCATTCTGGATGCCAAATGGGACCTCAGACATGACACTAATCTGCCTCATTCACTTTTGAAAAAGGAAATTCTTTGTGTGTTTTCCTTTTAAACTGAGGGTTAAAGGAATCTTCTTTCCTTGAGCTCTGTGGATTGAAGAAAGAAGGGCACAGGAGGAGGATATTGCTAGCAAAATAAAATATGGCTTTGGCTTTTTACAGAAGATTATCTAGGAAGAGAGTCTCTGCAATGCAAGTAGAACTTGGCAGCTGAATGGTGATGAAAGTGTACAAAAGGCATTCAAGAACTACTCAGGCTTACCTCAGCAAAGCTGCATCTCCTCCATTCTTTTATTTGCTTTTGGTATAGTCTAGGTCTTGCCACTATTTCTCCTAAAAGATACTGTCATTCCCTTCCTTTGCTCTGTTAGTTCAGGTCTGTGCATTGCAAGAAAGCGAATTAATTCACATAGGTAGCAATCATGATGTTCTCATTTTACTTCTCACCACCTTTGCAAGAAGATAGTCATTGGTTCAAAGAGGTGTTTTTCACATCAAAATTCATTGTAAGAGAAAGACCAGTTTGCAGAATTGGAATCAGTGGGAAGTGGGAGGGACCGTTACGGCTAGATTGGACCAATGTTCTTGCCAGTAAGTGAAGATTTTTTTTTCTTTTTTTTTTCTTTTTTTCCTTTTCCCTCGACTCTTTTCCCTCGTCTCTTTTCCCTCATCTCTTTTCTTTTTTTCCAGGTATAGGTTATGAAAGGAACCGTGATTCCAGAGGTTAGTGTGACATTCAGGACAGCCTTCAGGGCCTGATGTTCTCCTAGGATTTTTCTGAAAGGGGGTTGTTTTTATAAGTGGGAGTGAATGATGGAAGAATCTCAACTGTCTCTCAGGGTTTCCCATATGAGTTAATATAAACTGAGGGAATGACTGTTCTGGGAGCCAAGCAATTATTTCCTGTTTCTTTTAAACAAGTATTTACAAAAATCTCAAGCCATCAAAACCCTACCCCCCACACATAAGCACATAGATATATGAAAGCACACATGCAGAGGTAAATGTGTACACATTTGCAAACTGTCCAAGTAGTCCAGTAGGATTTATTATATCTATCATGAGCTTTGGCCAGCCCAAGTGTACATAGGCCTGTTTCCCACGCAGGCACAGGAATACACACACCCAGCAGCAGCTGCAAGCTTTGCTGAGGTGCTTCTGTCCTGTTCATGGCTCTTTATATATCATTCAGATATGGCAGAAGTTCAGCAGATCAGGGAAAAAGCATCAGGCTTTCTCCTGCTAGTTTTGTGGATTGGCTTTGGTTTTTGGCCTGCCATTTGGACCGTGTACAGAGATTGAACAAACTTGCAAGGCTTTAAATCCTTACTCTCTTTCAGTGTGGCATACACTTTGATAGTCTCCTTCCAGCTTCTGTAGTGCCAAAGACATCCTCACTGTCAAGCACCTACTTTATGACCAGTCATGACGGAGAAAACATCAAGGGGGCTAAGCAAGCAAAATGAGCTCCTTTCTTGTCTCTGCAAAGCAAGATCATAAATCGCAGCAAGGAAGATAAAAAGTTAAATATCAAGACATTTTTTTCTAGCAATGGAGGTAGTGAAGTGCTGGAATCACTTGCCTACAGATACTGTGCAATGTGAGATATGCATCAGCAGATATTCTTAAGAATAGGTTAAACAAATGTCTTTCAGAAATGGTTTTAGATATAGATAACATGCCTTCAGACTAGGAGATAGATTAGGTAAACTGCTAAGATTCCTTTCACTCTATTTTTTGTGATCTCATGGACATATTGACAGAGCTGTGGAAAGCCGTTGTTGTCTTTTCCATCTGTTGACCTGTAAGCAGATCTCCTGGAAAATCAGTGTAGAAAATGGTCCCCAAACCATTGGGTGATTTGAGTGAATTTCTTCTCTTGAGTTTTCAGTAGTAATTGATGATTAAATTTTCAGTATACCTGTTAAGATTGTATGAGGGTTGTTTACGTGGGTATACGTGTGTGATATATAGCTTTTCAAGCAAGCTTTACTGATGGCAAATATGTGTGCATATGTGTTTAATGTATAGGAAACAATGTTATGAGGACCATCCATGGTGTAGGAGAGATGATGACCCAAATGGTATTGAGCAGAGGATCTATATTTCCCATCAGTGCCCCTGATGTACCGCCAAGCATCCACCCAAGCAAGCAAGCCAGCACCTCAGAGAGTGAAGATGTGATCGTAATGGACACCAAACTGAAAATCATTGAAATTTTGCAGGTAATAATAATTGATGACGTATTACATATGAGTCAGTTCACATATGTTAGCTTACTCACATAGTGCCAAGGTCTGTCAGCTGTATTCTAACACCGCTATCCACTGAGCTATTCATTGTTAAAATAGCGCTTTGCTGTGAGGAAGATACTCTCCTGCTTGTACAATGATACAGTTGTGGTCCTTACATACTCTGTTACGCTTACTTTACTTCTGAAGGAATTAGATGCTGTAGAGACTCTGTCACTGTGGCTTGTGAGAAAGCAGAACCTGTCCTTTAGTCTACCTTATTAATGTTTTCTGGAGACAGTGTGTCTGTTTCCAGGCTCATTTGCACTCATTTTACGTTGGAGTCGCTTATTTGACTGTAGTGTTTGACTCTTTCTTTACATTAGTTTGATGAAGGACAGAATTGGGCTGAGATCCATCGAAATCATGCAAGGTTAAACAATTTTGAAGTCTTTTTCAGACTTCCGCTGTTAGGTTGAGAACAGTCTGTGGGCTGCTATGATTTTCTCTCAGCTGAACTGACAAGGTATATGACACTAGCGTGCCTCTGGAGATAAAATTTTCACTTTGTGCTATTAGTAAGTTAAGTGGCACACATTTGTTCTGCAATAATCATGCACTGAAGGAATTTTTCAGTGTTTTCTATAAATTCTGCTGATCTGTTGGTACCGTTGTCACTTTTGAAGGATTCCATTTGTTCTGAATACTTATAAATGATTTAATTACCTTAATTACTCATCGTCTGAAAGACTATATGAAGTGGTAGGTTATCCTTAATACTCATACTTTAGTTTTAGACAGCTGACTTAGTTTAAGCCTTATGGTACAGAACAGGATGTTATGAGGTTATTATCACCTAACCGGTAGCTCTGGAAGAAGATACCATTCACGTGTATTGCTTCTCATTTCTATTTGGTGTTCTGACTGTCTGAATTTCCTTCCGTACCATCCAGCTCTACTAGTTGATTATACAGTGATCATTCTGGGACACTAGCCTTTTCCTCCTCTTGTGCATTCCTGACCTGCTCACAGGAAGGAGAATCACATTTTTTCTCTTCCTTGCCTCTTTCGCAGCACGTCCAGTGCAAGAGCACCTGGGATTGGAGAGGACTTAATGCTAGGTTGTTACTTAATCTGTGGCTTGCTAGTTATGGCTCAGTCACATGATCAAACTACTGCAGGTTAGCAAATTGTCCTGTGTTGGGTGAGCCACAATAAATGTGCATACATAGGACTTTAGTTCACAAGCGATACAAAATAATTGCCTTGTATAATTTGCAATGAAGAAGGTTTAATTTAAATCAAGTTACCTGTCATTATTGTTCTATTACCCTGAAAGGTAAGTAGGCATATTGTAGATTTATTGTATTGCCATGCATAGTTAGTATTAACCCTATTCAGTTTTAATAAATATTTCAGTTTATATTATTTGGATTCTGAGTATATCCTCTTAGTTCTTTAAGTAAAGGCATTTCTTACTTAACAGTTTCCATTCTGCCGTCAGCTGGAATTAAAACAGATGGCTTGATAGACTCAGTTGACTACATGTGGGCTTGGCAAATTTTTAAGTATCTTGCTTGTACAATTATAGGATAACTTGGTCATAGAACCAAAATAAACCTGTTTTTCTTCTTTTTGGTTAGGTGTTTTTAAAGAAAAGATAATGCTTCTTAAACTGATGTTTTATTCTCTTTTAGATGGCACAGTCCGAGTTACCCTAGTCAAATCCTGTTACAATTCCCTGGGCCTGGGAAGGTTGTATGATTTTAGTTAGAGATCAAACAAACAAGTTGCCACCATTTGCTAAATCACCGCCTGTCAGCTGAGTTGTGGTAACTTTAACATATGTGCTTTCATCCCCACTGAAAGTGAAATAAGGTAGATTATCTTAAACCTCTTCCACTGTGTGCTTACAATTACTGTGGGCAAGGAGCATATGCATGGACAAATACTGAGACTCAGCTGATGGGCAGTCAGTTGTTAAAGTGCAAAATGTAATTATGTGTCAGTCCTTAAATTGGTACTAACACCTACAGCCGAGTTATTTCCCTCAGTATTCCAAAATAAAAGCAACACTTTGAATTAGGATTTTTCCTGTATGACTTTCAGATTTTGCAGCTGAGGAGCAGAGCACCAACAATTAAAAGAAAGCAGAGTGGTGAAGGGGAACTCTGCTACCACTACAGTGGTAGCTGCTAAGGCTGAACTTTTTTTTTGTCGCATGATAGCAATACTGGTAGGAGCTCACAAAGCACATACTGTCAGTGCCTCACGTCCTCAGCTGGTGACTAGCAAAGTACCAAAAGACAGCGCCAGCCCTGTGCTTCACGCCCTGGGAGTTGTGGAGTTAAACCTCTCTGCCCTTGGCTGTCAGGCACCTGAAAAGCCAGTCCTGCGAGGGTGCGCATGGAGCCTGGTGTCTTTACTGTCAACCCTGTTCCCCTGCATATCTTAATGAGGCATTAGAAGTCCAGCTGAAATATGAAATAATCTTTTTCAGTCTGGGTTCGGACGTACTGATCTGGCTTGTAGACAGAAAGGGCAAGGCAGCTTCCTGGAGCCCCTGGACAAATCCAGACTGCTTCTTAGTATTCAGCAGCCAACAGGGCAGAATTCAGTATGTCTCAGGATCGTGGCAGGGAAGAATGAAATCACAGAATAACTGTCTGGCAACCGTAATGGATTCATTTTGTGTCATGGACATATTTACTTAAAATAACCTTGTATCTTTGTACGTTCCACCATGAAAAAAATCTCAACCCACTGTACCAAATGGGAGAAAAAAAGTCTCATTTTAAACTCTTTTCTTGTAGTTTATTCTCAGTGTTAGACTGGACTATAGAATATCCTACATGCTGTCTATCTATAAGAGAGAGTTTGGAGAAAACAATGAAAACGTTGATAGCTCTACAGCTTCCCCGTCTGACACACCAGGGATTGCCTCAGGTAACTGTTGCTATTGTATTGCAATGTAAAATAATTCTGTGTAGTAGACTACTGCAGTTACAGATATTTTAGCAAGCAATAAACTGCTACACCAGAAAGATGCATGTCACTTGAAGTTGAAAAGCTTGTGAGAAAATGAGAATCTTATGAATTCCTGTAAAAAAGAAAAGATATTTGCTGGTCTGCCTTCCTCTAACTAAAATCTGATTCTTTTTTCCAGTGATGACAAATTATTCTTTTATTTGTACTCTTCCCAAAACACTGCAAGGTGATAAATGTAATGGAGAGTAGACCATGAAAAATGGTTGTTTGTGGAGGAGGATGGATTTAAGTGAGGTGACTGTGGTATGGAAATGGAGTGGCCAGGGAGTAGTCTTGTGCACAGGGAAGGGTTCAAAGGGGTGACAGCAGTCTGCATGACGAGCTGCAAGTAGGGGAGAGTTATTTTAACTGGAGGTGCTGTAGAGCAGAGGGGTGGCTAAGGAGTACTAAAGTCTTAAGTAGTAAGATATGCTAAAGCATTATGATGATGTGGTAAGTAGTTGTGTTTATGAAAAATAGTCTAAAATTCACATGTCTCATTTTGCTGCTTTGTGGGGGTTGGTTGATCTAATAAGAAAATAGAAGTTTCGTATTCTGTGCTATTTTTGGGTCATGGGTGGCTGTACAGCTCCTGGAGCACTGTGGAGCTCTGGTCCATCACTACAGTCCAGCTCTTTCTCAGTGCTACTAACACACAAGTAAATAAATTAAAACAGTGCTGTGTCCTGCTTCTTCCTACTGACTCTTACAGATATGGAATTCGGCCTCGCTAAGGAATGTAGGGTTAGGCCTTTGCTTGGTAACGTAGACTTTAAAAAGAACAGAGTTTCTCTGGTGTGGCTGTTGCCTTTCGCTGATCACAAGCTTTTTAAATTTTATTTTAATTGTTTTCCAGCAATTGTTCCTGACATAGATGAAATTGCAGCTCAGGCTGAAACCATGTTTGCTGGCAGGTATATTCTCTGAAGTTTTACTTCTCTGTATGTATCTCTTTGATCACGTTGCTATTTCTCATGGACAATCTCTTTTTATTCTGTGTTTTTTCATGCCCCCTTTTCTTTGGCTACTTTTTCTTATTTCATAGCTTGCACACAGACAGAAAAGTGATACTTTCCGCTGAATATCAGAGATCAGATGTGTGGTACCAGTGCCACCAACTAGAGACCTGTTTTTCAAACAGGCAAAGAACCCAGTGGGTATGGCTGGCAGTGAGACTAGAAATGACCACCCTTTTGGCCAGCTTTAGTTATAAGAGAGTGGGTAGAAAATTTCTGGCAAAAGGCAGTTGGCGAATGTTGTACTCATGTACTGGGTTGAAACACGCTATGTATCTATTTCTCTATGGTGCCTCACAGAGGTGCTTTTAAAGAAAGACTTTTTCTGGTGTACATTATGACTGTAGTCCCCAACTTCTTGGATCAGTAAGTTACTGGTGACCCTCAGTAATTCTCATGGATGACATGAACTGTTATCATTACCTCTTGGATTTGAAATTACTGTAAAAGTTATGTCAACAATATTCTGTTTCATGTGACTCCACAGATAACTGTGGACCACTTGCCATGATCTTCTGGACCGCCAGAGGCCTGCAGATCACAAGTTATGCTTGCAGAGCTTTGGCAGTGGTTTCAGCTGTGCGGGGAACAAAAAAAAAGCACTGACAACATCCACACTGGAGAGTTATTACCAGTATGACTATATTGATTAAATTTTCCTGGTGTAATTGTGATTATACCAGTAAAAATGATTCCCATTGAGACAAGGCCTTAGGCTTTAAAGTTTTTGCTGGAGCTAGGGAGAAAGATTCGCAAGATGGGTGTTCTGATCTCTGGTCCCTTTTTCTTTACCAGCAAGCACAGTGCCTGTAGCCCTCTCCCTGAACTCCCGTAATGTAAAACAACACACAGCCCTTGGCATCTGCATCTTTAAAATGAGCAGAGAGACTGAATGGTTTCTTGGAAACATTATTTCTGCTTTGATATGTTAAGTGTAAATCTGCTTTCTGTCGTTCCAGATTATAAATATGATTCTAGAAATATGCTTTTGGCAATTCTTACTATTTTTGAGCTTATTTTTTATTAAGGATATTTTAATAGCAGCTGAAAGAGGAAGGAGTAAAAAGAATGGGGCCAAATTAATCTCTGATGAAATGCTGTTGACTTCAATTAGTTTGGACTGGGGATGAGGTTGGCACCATTTATCCAAGACATAAATGAATGTTTTTGCGATATGGATTTTAATCACAGTATTTGTCACATTTCATACATATTAACTTCTACCCACAGTGTCCATTCTGCTACAAGGTTGCCTCACCGTAGGATTTAAATCCTTATAAAATACGTTAAAATGGTGTTCATAATTTGCATCCCAGAGCGTATTCCATTTGGTTTTGAGAGCTCTATCAAATGAAGATTGTGTGTACAGGCATATTTATGTCTAAAGCTTTTATTTATTTTTGTTTGGTGTTTTTTTTCCCCATTTCTGTTACAGAAAAGAAAAAAATGCTGTTCAGCTTGATGATGAAGGGGGCAGAACTTTTTTACGGGTCCTCATTCACCTCATCATGCATGACTACCCTCCTTTGCTCTCAGGCGCTCTGCATCTGCTCTTTAAGCACTTCAGCCAGAGAGCAGAAGTTCTGCAAGCATTTAAGCAGGTATGGGCATAGCATTACTGCAGGGAAGTGGCTGCAGGAATAGCCTTTCCAAAGGCTGCTTTTCGTACCTAAATTGCTGTTTGTAGCATGACAGTGTTATGTCCTTAAAGGTTCAAATTCAGCAGAGCTTTCTTTCTATGAGAGTTGAACATATGTGCTAGCGTACGTTCTGACTGTGTGCCCAGAAATGGTGATTTTTGTCATTGGGTCCCCTACTGGCAATACAGGTCCATGGTGACAGGTGGGACACCCACATTTCAGCGAGGCATGATGCAGTGATCTCCTAGTGATAGAGTTAGCACCTCATGTTTGACGAGCAGTTCACCTGTGTTAGCAATGAGACTTCCCTGTCTTCCAGACTACCTTGGCGGGGTGTAAAGTTGTGCTGGTGTAAATGTGAGTTTTCAGTTCTGGTTCTAAATCAGATGCCTTTGCATTGTGTTCTGCTGCGTGATATAGATGTGCCCAAATAACGGAAAGAAAGCAACAGAGTTTGCTTATTTTCAGCTTTTATTCTTTCTGCTTGATAGCATGTGCCCACTCCATGTGTCAGTGGATTAAGATTAGGATTAGAAAATCTCATTTCATGGGGCTAGGGAATAGAGAAGGCTCTGTTACATGACCATATAGCATACGTTGTTAAGACCATCTGATGCTTATTTCAGGAGTTCACTAGCATGTTGTCTCATCATTATGTAAGAGGTGGAGGTTTCTCTTGTTTAAAAGCAGATGAACGATAGAGAACTGGAAAGCTTTTGTTTAATATTTCTGCAGAGTTGCATAATTGCCTCCTACCAGGATATTAAAGTAGGGCCATACTAATTAGGTGCATAAATAGCTGCTCTTCCCAGCTAAGCGAGGGTTGAGTAGCTTAACGTGTTTTTATAAAGGAAGGAAAAGGCTAATTGGCAAATAAACAAAAAAGGCTGCAGAAAGCATGCAATATGAATGTCTGTGGATAACTGAAATTCATAAATCGTGTAAAATAACAAGGTTTTATCAAGCTAAGAGAAAGGAAGATGAAAACTTTTTATTACAAAATAGTGAATATATGCCTGCAAGTAGTGGTTTTTTTTTTTTTTTTTCAGATGTTCCTATCAGTGCTCCTATCTGCCTTGTGGTCTTAATCTTTTAAATAAGTTTGATTTCTTAATGTGTTTATTGATTTACCATAAAGATTGCTGTTAGTTTTTTGTATAATATCTTCATTAATAATTTTGGGAGAGCAAAGAACATTGCAAAGAAAGGAAATGAGTAGGTCATAGGAAATCAGGAATTACAAATAACAGGGAGAAGAAAGAACAGATAATTTGAGCAGTAAAAAAAATAAAAAATGGCGATATTAATCCCAGTAAGAGGCAAACACTCAGATGATGGGAAATTGCATGAACCTGGAAAGTCAGTTCTGTGAGCTATCCAGACAAATTTTTCTAAGCTGGATTAACAGTGATGGAAAAAAAAGTATTTGTCAATATTTCATTATTTTGATGTAGATAATCATGAAAGGTGCTCTCCACTTGACTTTTCTTTGAATGTCCTGATTCCCTGTCCTATCATCCCTTTTTTCCTTTGAAGTACTGTGCTGATAGGATAAGCTATTTCCACTCGTATTATTTTAATACCTATTCTGTTTTGGGTAACCACACTCTCTAGTTCTGTTAAAGTTTTTTACTGAATGGAGACTAAAAAGACCATGTGTCATGTTTCACTTTAAAAGAGAAGGTAACATAAAGCATCCAAAGAGAGGGCCTGAGGATGGAAACAATCTGGCAGATTTCCCAGGCTGGTGCTACTGCTGTAATAACTTTACAGTTTACTGTATTTCCAGGTTCAGTTGCTGGTGTCTAATCAAGATGTGGATAACTACAAGCAAATCAAGGCTGATCTTGATCAGCTACGTCTAACTGTAGAAAAATCTGAACTGTGGGTTGAGAAGAGCAGCAATTACGAGAGTGGAGAGGTGGGCGACAATCAAACCAAAGGGGGAGAAGAACCAATAGAGGTGGGTTTAAAGTCTTTTGCTGCTTGAATTGTTTCAGTGTTTCTGGGTAGTTTAATGCACAACAGCAAATTTGTGATTTGGCTGATCAAAGTGCCAAAGAAAGAATTTGCAATATTCTGGCTGAGCTTTAGGATCAGATACAAAGATAAAAGATAAAATGCATTTTAAAGGTATGTTCAATATTCTCTTCTGCTGTCTTCTGTTACTGTATTCTTATGTCAGAGTTGTTTTCCATTTGGTCCAGCGAGCAAGCCACAGTGTACGGCATAACTCGGTGACCATGGAGGTAATCTAGGGATCACGCATTGGCCGTTGTGTTATCTTACTGGAAGAATGGATGAGTAGGCAGTATCTCTTCCTGCAACTAGGGGAAAAGAGCACAGTCAAATCCATATTTTTAAACATTGTGAGTAAGCCTACTTTCCTCAGAACGTAAGACTGAATTAAGAACACTGAGATTTTGAAAGCTGGCAAACTTTTTTTTTGACCTTTGGTTTCCCAGAAACTTTTGGTTTCAAACTTGAATCTGGAACCATAAAAATCTGATTTTTTTTTTTAATTTTATTTTTCAGTGAAAGCTAGGGTCCTCCTGTAATTGCCTAACCCCAGTGTGAGTATATAAGAAAATGCCAAGTATTGCAAGAGTTGCTATGGTTAAGGTTTGTAGCATAATAGTAGATATAGCAGGCTTTCGTGCCAGTATTTATTCCTGCCTTTCCATTCTGAGCAGTGGAGGAAGGCAGAGGCCAAGAACTGCAATTTCTGATGCAGCACTTTCTGTATTCTCTTTTGCGGTAGGGAGTCTCCACTAGCTGCAAGAAAATGAGCAAGGAAGCCGTCAGGGAAATTTTGGGTAGAAAGCAAAGTGGAGAGTATGCAGGACTGAGGAGCCAGTGCATTTTGGAGAAGTAAGGGCCACTGAGAAGACGGAGGGTCTTTGCAGATACCTGTGAGATGCTATTAACTTTTCAGATGGGAAAGCAGATTCTCTGTGGCTTCATAAGGGGAAAAATCCAATAATTCAAGTAAGAATTCTGATCGCTCAGGACAGTGTGATTCTAGTCTTTCTCTGATATAACTTATCTGAATTTAATGGTGTCAAAACTAGGAAGAACCTGGACTTCATGAGCTTAAGTATGTAGGAATTCCTCACAGCATAGCTCTAGTAGGATAGCAAATGGCCCTTTATGTTTCAATGAATGAAAAGGTAACAGGAAGACAGGATGCAGAATCACCACATTAAATTACAAATTTTTTTGGATAGAATTTTTTTTTGAAGTGTAGTAAGATCCTTTTATTCCTACAAATAGCTCTGATGGCAAAGAAACTGCAGGAAGAGGGGATAAAACAATGTGCTTAAAACAGAAGCATCTCTAAATGGAATGTTTTCAATGTTTTTTTCCCATGAGGCATCAGTGGGTCTCTATGGATTAACAGGACTTCAGCAGATACACAATATTATCTCTGACAGATCTGAGAGAGTATTGTATCGGAACAGTAACATGTAATCTGGACAACTGCTAGATCATCTGGTGGTAATTCCATCAGAGCTGCACCAGGTTACGCTAGCTCAGAATCTTGTCCGTTATTTTTCCCTTATTAAATTAGTCTTTGATATGCAGGAAATGTTTTTACCTGGCAAAACTACTTTTTGTGGTGAATACTCTCTTTGAGATCTTAAAGAGGACTGGAGAAGTGAGGTGCTAGTCATAATCTACAATACGTGAAGCAGGTGGCTAGCTTCAAGTAGATAAATATCCCTGTGAGATCCCATGCTTCCTTGGAATGAGTATTCAGTACAGAGCTAGATGAACCTCTAGATCCTTAGGGAGTATGTTGCATTTGTCTGCTTAATTTATCCCAAACAGCATTAAAGTGTGTACAAGGGCTTAAATTGCATTCCAGATCAGTCTTATGTTAACCCTCAGTTTTTCTCCTTGCCAAAGCACATTGCGAGATTGGCTTAAAGGTTTTAAAAAATCATGTATGTTTCTTTGCCTTCAGGCAAAGTCTTTTGGGCCATTTTTTCAACTTTTCTTTCATAAGTTGGGAGGCTAGAAACTGGATGTGACTCCAGAAACTACCTTTGTGGAAAAAAATGCCTGATTCTTCAAAGTAAAGTATCCAGAGTTCTCCATAGCAAAATGATAACTCTTACATCCTTGTAGGGTCATCTTGATAAGGACTGCAAATAAGAATGATAGGAAAGAGTTTCTGGAATTAGGTCAAACATGGATTAGGCACCGCGTAGCAACAGGAGAAATGCTAAAATTGATCTCCCGTAACTGAGCCTTAATTGAGAAAGGAAAAGTAGATAAAGTCCTTTTATTTGGCAATCTCTGGCAAGGGGGCTTTGAGTCTCTGTAGGTACCATGGCCTGTGGAAAGTGTGCTTGTGGCACTGGAGAATGGATTGGTGGTGTAGCACCAGAAACATAACTCTGAGAAGGAGAAATTTAAAGTCTCAGCATAAGGACTCTTAGGTGAAACTGAAATACAGTGCAGGAGTGCTGGTACTTTAAGCCCCTGGTGTTCCTTGCTGTCCTCTTGTTCTGGCCTTTGGCAGCCTGATTTGGTTCTGGAAATGTTTTGGGAGATGTTTGTTCAAACATTTCATATAGATGGAGATTGTGAGCTGAAGCCTGAGCGCTCTCTTCTGAGACAGCTCCTTACTACCCAGGTAAGTTAACAGCCTGGGCCCTGATGCTGAATGGCGCCTTGCTCAGTCATCCCGCTGAGATGAATGAGACTATTTCAGAAGTGGAGAACTGCTCAAATCTAGGCCTCCATTCAGGGGCTGTAAAGAAAGGATCCTAAAACAGGCAGCGTGATGTTCTGGTTGCTTGTTGACTTTATGGAGAAAGGAAGTACTCATTTTCAGAAAATCCCATTTCTGTGCAGTGGGGAGTGCTATTCAGAAGAGAACCGTGCTCAGTGCAAGCTCTTTGACTTCCTGTGCCCTATGGGAAAGTGTGACAGCGAATGTCTATCACCGGGCATAACAAGGCAAGATATGCAACTGAGTGTCTCTGATATCCCAGTGGTGTGATTATCTCCAGATAACTACATACCTGGAATACTCTTATGGGTTCAATAAACAGATTTTTATTTTGTTGAGAGAAAGGATAGATTCAGCAGTTTAATGCTGATCAGCACTTCCAGATAAGACATACAGTTCACATGGATTATAAAACTGCTTTGATTGAGGAAGAATGCTGATAAAAGTAACAGGTAAATTAATCTTGGTTAACCCACAGTCCCAGAGCAGTGCAGAGTGGTTAATTATAGCAAAGAGCCTGAAATATCTTCCGAAGTATCGATTCAAACAGCTAGAGAGAAGGTAGCATGCATACTAAAAAACCTAAACAAATAAAAATCCACTGTTGTTGCATAGATCAAAATGACCATGCTGAGTAGCAGTGCTGACGCTGTTATAAACAGCTTCCATGGCCAAGTGGTGCAGCTGTTCTTGCCCCACTGGAAATGCAGACCGGATGGAATTTATAGGACTCCTAATCTCCACAATCAGCTAAGAAAGTTCAGATTGAGATTTCAAGTGATGTAAACATTCAGATGGGTTTGCTCTTGTGTGTTTTAGCATAATTCTTGTCACTAAGACAGTAGGAAGTTTGAGGACAGAAAAACTCAGAAACATACCTATTTGGTTCTTTTTTACACTACAATATTAGTTTATGTCCTTGTACTTATACTGTGGGGGAGTTTTGAGATCTCCTGTAGTTTTTCTTCCACGTGTTTAATGATTTGAACATCAAAAGTCTGATCTGGCACGTCTTTGCCTTTCCAGAGAAGAAAGGCTAACCATAGCTGGCAGCATAAAAATCACTGCCCTTATTCTGCCAGTATACTAAGTGGGATATTTGTGTAGATATTCTTCTCTTTTTTGGGATGTTCATGGAGAGGTGGGAGGTGGAGGAGGCAGTTATTTGCTGACCTGACTTCTTTTATTTATCATATCCAGCTGGAACTTTCTAAGAGCCAAGGACCAGAGCATATGGTATCATAACTGGATGTCACAATTTAGCATAAGGTCTTTATCCTTTGTTTTACATTCCCTTCCCACATTATCCAGAGATAACTGAAATGTCATCTTTCTGGGAGGAGTATCTCCAATTTCCGTATGCTACTTGTTCATGTACTGTTGAAAAGAATCCCACCCTACTTATCTCAACTACAGAGGTCAACTTCAGCTCTTTCTCCAGACTTTTTATGTTCACATAAACTAACTGTAATCTTTCCAGCTGTGTTAGAGATGTTTGGAACAAGGGTTGACTATTGAAATACTCATATGGCTCCCATTCTCATATTATCTAAGTTCCTTGGAATGCCTAGTCTGTGATGTAGGGACATATCCATTTTTAGGAGCATCAGAAGCATGAAGACATGGAATAATTGTCTCCAGTCATGTTGGAAATTTAAAACAGGGGAAGGACTTGAATGTGAATCTTTTGACTGACTGGACAGTAACTGGTGGATGGTTACTGAAGACTTTTTCTTTATTATCTGTTATATATCTGTTCCCTATGAGCTGTTGTAATGCTTCTTCTTCACTTGCTGGTAATAATTAGTTCCTGTTGATGAAATCGCATCAACAATTGCATTGTTGTATGTTCTTTGTTACAGGAGCCAAATATTTTGAGTCCAATACAGGATGGGACCAAAAAACCACAGATAGACAGCAATAAAAGCAATAACTACAACATTGTTAAGGAGGTTGGTATATCTTCTGAGAAACTTGCCTGACATACTGGTGTAATAAATAGGTTTAGTTGTTAATTTGACCCATAATATTTTTGCTCTGGTATGGCTGCTCCTTTGCTTGCTTTCCTGCTTGCTTATTTATTTACTTATTTATTTATTTATAGATTTTGATTCGACTCAGCAAACTTTGTGTTCAGAATAAAAAGTGTCGGAATCAGCAGCAGCGATTGCTGAAAAACATGGGCGCCCACTTGGTGGTCTTGGACCTTCTGCAGATACCCTATGAAAAGGTTATTCTGATAATTTCTGCTGTAAAGGATATGAAGTCAGTAAAGGCAAACCCCCCAAAACAAGAAAGAACGTCCCAAGAAACAATGAAAAAAATAATTTCATGGAATTCACTGAAGTATAACACGAATGTAAAATGATGGTGGTGTTTTCTACATTAAGAATAATGGGTCTGGGCCCAAGTTTAAATGTGGCGGCCTACTGAGAGAGGGTTTCACTAAGAACTTACTGTTTCCTGCCTCAGATAGCCAGGTGTCACTGTGCTATCACCCCATTCCTGAAACACACAAACCTTAGCTTTGCAGTCACTGCACGGTAGGAAATATTGATTTAATGAACTCCTGGCAGGGTGTCTACATTCCACTGTTAGGTACTGATGTGAGTGCTCTTGTAGCTACATAAGATGGACAGTTAAAGATTCAAGCATGAAACCTGAAATCATTTCAGTGTCTCTGTGGTGGCAAGGCTCTTACTACCTCCACCTGCAGATTTTTCAGAAGATGATACAACTGTGTCCTGATGTAATGACATTGAGCAAACAAATTAATGATCTAGATATTCTTTTAAAAAGCACATCTTTCTAGATCTTATTTGAAGCATTGGAAGGAGACAAAACCTCTTCTAGGCTATGTTTTCCCAAGTGTTATACGCTAATGTTTTGATCTGGACACTGAGTTCAGCTTGCTTTGGTAAAATATTTAGCACTGGTGCTTGTTCATATGAATGGTTCAGCACATTATAGTTAAAATATTTATATGAGAGGAATACAAAATGGGGATGAAACTAGGCGTATATATTTGTGTGGGAGTATGTGCATGAGCATATATATCTAACTATATAAATGCCAAAGCTTTTCAAAAGCTGAAAGTCAGTGGAAGCTAGGGAGTATTTAGCGTTTTTTAAAACCAAACCACTGATCAGATTTTGAACTAGGAAATGACAGCCACGTAGTAGGAAATCTTACCTTGAGTTTCGTATCTCTAATATATTGCAATTATTACATTGTTTTTAGTAGTAGAACTAAAAATCTTCCTGTTCCTCTAGGAATTCATAAGACAGTGATAACTCTAGGTTACGCCATGAGACCTCAGGCCAAGGAAAGTGGAAGGAAACACTGGAAACTGTAGTGTGTTGTGTCATTGCTAGTGATTCCCCGTGGTCAAGTGGGTTCAGGGTAACGTGTAGTCACTCATGGACTCTGAGGGAAACTAGAGCAGTTGCTCTTGCCAGAGGAAGAATTCCTGCCGTATAAAGGCTCAAGAGAGTCGACGTATTCCTTACTGAGTTCATATTGTGCAGGATTAACAAGTATGTTTAGATATGTCCAGCTGATGTTTCTGTCTTTTCTTTCTGCAGAGTGATGAAAAGATGAATGAAGTTATGAATCTAGCCCATACTTTTCTTCAGAATTTCTGTCGAGGAAATCCTCAGAATCAAGTTCTTCTCCACAAAAATCTCAATTTATTCTTAACTCCGGGGGTAAGTATTTCATTTTAATGATAATATTATAAATTAAAGTAAATTTGGGTTCGCTGACAGATGACAGTGCTAAATAAATAATTACGTTAAATTATGCCTTCTCTCCTCTCTATTTTCTTTTCTCCCTTATTATGGCTCTTTATTTCATTGCTTTTAATGTTCCATTTTGAAAGTGGAAGACAGTGTTACCTGTGGGGTTCATTGGAAGGTTCTATGAGCTTGTGTCATATCATTATATCATATTTGGCTTGATTCTGATCTCATTCATCCTAACTCACTCGCATCTGGACTATAATTCAGGGGGGGAAGATGCTGTGACTATGCTGATGTGAAACTTGTGTGAGAGCAGAATCAGACCCATATGTTTTTGCTGATGATGCTTCCACTTGCTTCAACTAATCTAAAGTTTGATCTTCTGTTAAATCACTGTCTTTATGTTAAGCCCCTTTGTTACAGTTCCCCTACTTTTTGATGTGTTTCATTAAAATTAAAGTATGTATATGTGTGTTGATATACGTACGATCATCTGACACCTTGCTGAGTGGAAGATCTGCCACTGAACAAAACACACTTTTATGAGAAAGAGGATAAGTTTTAGGAGTGTAGACTCCTGACCTGAGTACATGAAGCATTTATACTGGCTTGTTTTTATTTATACTTTTTTTTACTTTATTTATTTATACTTTTTCTGTGAAGTTAGTGAAGGATGTTGAGCTGACAATTGTAGGGACTAGAGCCCAATTCCATTCTGTCTAACATTTGACCTTCGCTCAGGTGTCAGGTATAGAGCCTGCTTGCACCTGCATTTCTGTTTTAATTCAAATCAGGAGTGTGCTTTTGAAGCTGATCTTCTGATCATCCCTTCTTACTGTGCTTTCACTCACATTGCAGAGCAAATTTGGTATGGCTTCTTTTCAGAAGACACTAAACAGAAAGATGTGCCCCAGGAGCACACCTAACCCTCGTGAGCATTCAGCCTAAGGGACCAAACTAGAGCAAGTTTGAAGCAAAATTCTGTAGGGTGCATATGGTCTGGGTGCAGTGTCCTCAGCAGCATCCCTTTCTCACTATGGGTCTGCTGCTGTTGTACCATAGTACTCACTGATACAACATAGCCGTAGGCTCCCTCTGTAGTGAATGAGGAAAGATGTGCCATAAGAGAGCAATTAGATTATATGCGCAATGATTTATCTGCTGGAAATGCCTATATCTGTCAGCCATAGAGGGAACCAGAGGTAGCTAGGCATCTAATTTCGTTGCCTCAATGAGAAGTTGGACAGTGGCTAGGATAAACGTGGTCTCGATTTTGGTCTCTGTTTTCTTGTATCCCGAAGTCCCTCCAATGTGCTCTAGCAGCGTCTCTGTGTGTGTTTTTACCTTCCACAATTGCACAGATTTTGTTTTTGCCTGCTTTAAGACTGTTTTGTACTCTCAGGGAAGTGGTAGAGTAATCCCATTGTAAATGAAAGACAGGCCCGTAAGGTTGCTAGCTTATCACTGGACTGATCCATATTCGGCTTTTCCAGTCTCCCTTCACCAATGTGCCTTTCCCTAGTCTAGAGGTCTGTGAATTCTTCAGTCTCGAAACAGATCTGCCATTTTCACAAGGCTGTTCTGGTTTAAATCTGTTTAGCTTCTGGAAGCTGAAACCATGCGGCATATCTTCATGAATAATTACCTTCTGTGTAATGAAATCAGTGAGAGAGTGGTGCAGCACTTTGTACACTGCATTGAGACCCATGGCCGTCATGTGGAATACCTGCGTTTCCTGCAGACCATTGTAAAAGCAGATGGCAAATACGTGAAAAAATGCCAGGACATGGTAATGACAGAGGTAAGTTAATGGTTCGTATATTAATCATTCATTTGGTGTCTTTTTAACACGTATTAATATTTTGACATTGCTTTCTTTTGCTGTTAATACCCATGGGAAACACTGGCATCATAGCTTTAGAATTTTAAATGGTATCGCAAATAATGAATATTTTAGCAGACTTTTTTGGAGTTTAATCTAATTTTGTGAGGCCATCTGTGTAACTACTAGAAAGAAAACATGAGTGTTATCATGATACAGAGAGGTCTATTTCTAGAAGATACGGCATGGAAATCTCTTGAGTTCCTTACATAAACCTTCATTTTCCTGTACTGTATCTTAGGATGCCATTTACACACCAAACTTCCCATATTGTGACATGATTTTACCATAAAATAGGCTCTTACCTCTGTGGATTTGTTTTAACAGTGTTGTAAACCATTTTTTATGTGGAAGCACGTAACAATTTCAGGTATTTGTTTCTGCTTTTGTTTCTACTGCTGTAATTCTTGAGCGTTTCTTCTAGAGTCAGTGGAGCTACTCTGGCTTTAGCTAGCTACGTTCAGAGTCTGGCCTGGTAAATTTAACTGAGTGGTTTGTGGACAAATTTTTATGTCATTGAAGTCACTAGGAAAATACCCGATTGACTTCTCTGCAAATAGGATTTGATATGCAATGTGCATGGTAAATGAAGTCCTCATCTTGCAGATAGTCATGCATTAACTCATATTCAATGAGATTAATAGGTGGATACAATTGAATATGGTGAAATGGCCAGGTAGGATCAGAATCCAAGCAATGTTTTCATTACTTTTCAAAGTGCATTCTTTTTTTTTTTTTTTTGGAAACACAACTTCAGAAAGGAAACAGAGATAAAGCTCTAGGTGTGGTGTGAACAGTACTAGAACTTGCCAAAATTTCTTGCCACAGCAACAAAGAAGAGAAACTTCTAATTAAGAAAATAAAACTTCAGCCTACATGGATAACCTTTAATGAAATCCACGTCAACCTTTTCAATTTGACTGAAATGTTTTAACGTGCAGTATCAAATACAAGCCCTTGATTTACGTAATTCAAACAATTCTTTTGCGTTAGTGGTTTTAGATTTTTCCCCTTCAACCTCAGCTCCTTGTAGGTTTTTACTTTCTCATCAAATACAATTTTTTTGAGATTTTCCTCAACCTAAATACATTTTGCTAGTGATTTTTAATGGCATAAAGATAAACTTGCCCTATTACATTTTTAAGCTGACTGAATGATGAAAATCAAAATCAACTTGGATGTGACAGTTATACGAGGAGTCCTGCAGGAATTTGCCAGAAAGAGGAGGAACCCCTTTTTTGAGGAAAGAGAGTAAAGATGGTGACCTGTTTAGAAGCTGTAAGAAATTACAGTTAAGCAAATATCATTTGAGAGGAAAGACCAGTAATAGTGAAATAGTGCAATCTGATACAAAGGAAACAGTGTAGCCTAACAGCTGGAATTGGAGATGGAGTCAGGACAATGTCTAAGCAGACAACTGTGATTTAGTTTCTCACCTTAGGCAAGCAGTGTAACTTTTCTGTGCCTCCAGGCAGGGCGTGTAAACAACTTAGCCCAAAGCAAGATAGAGTGTGAGTGTACAGCATGCCTCTTAAATATTCCTTTACCCCATGGGAAATAGAGTGTGGCTTATGCCTGTTTCCTGGGAGTAAGAGATGAACATTTACATGTTTTAGAATGTGCGCACAGACCGTTATGAAAGAGTACTTTCATAGGACATGTCGAACGGTCCCACTCTGGCTTGTTTGCTTATTTAGCATAACTGGTTCCAATATTCTTGGTCCCCGCATCTGTGGAGTGCTGGTAATGACATTTCCCTACCTGAAAGGTTCCTTAGGGCACTTTGTCTTATTACGAGAGTGCTTTGCGATTTCTGGAAGAACAGTGCCTATAGGTGCAAACCTTATTGCAAAAGAGAAAGCAGAATTTACTTTTGAAGCAGATCAGTATGGCAGCCGAGTGCTCTGTTATCTGTGGTAGTGAAGAGCTGTCAGGAGCCAATCAGGCACTCACCCACCTTCGTTACACTTGCGTAGACTTCTTAACGCGTTTTAAATATACGTTAGTGGAAGAAAATGCTGCTCGTTTTCTTTCCCCATCGCTGCATCGTGGAATGCAGCGAGAACTTTTGTCTGGCTGACAGTGGATGCTTCTCTTCCTTTTCCGTTTTTAGTGACAGCATTTTCTCTGCTCGGGACAATATTTGAATTCCTTTCCCAAATCACATTCGAAATAGGATAAATTGGAGGAAGTGATGATGTTTCTCCTTTCACTATCTTTATGATGATTACGTTGTTCCTCTTTGCCCTTCTTGTGCCAGGGCAACATTGTCTGCTTTGGTTTGTGGTTCCTCACAGCTGCAATGTAGCAAGCATGCCATGCAGCATCATTTCACAGCTTCAGTTTCCTGCTATTTCTTTCTTGTTCATCAGTGAGAGATCAGTTTGACTTGCCCTTTAATCAAGCCATAGCAGAACAGATTATGTGTGGATTTAACATGAGATTATAACTCTGAAGAAACCAGGAAAGAGCCGTCTTCCCTCTCCTTTGCGCAACACATGCGCAAATGGAAAATATGGGAGTAGAGTGAACAACTTACTGGAAAGGGACAAAGCATGTGTCCTCCGCCACAAGGCTTGATGTGGATTTTTTTTTTTTTATTAATTTGTATTTGAAATGTTTTAAGAAAAAAATAGTATTCCTTAGGTCAGTGTTTAAAAATTAGACAGGTCAATTTTCCAGCATTGTGAATACTCATATTTCCCAATTTTTCTTTTTGCCTGTGCAATGAAATTCATGTGTCTGGGTGCCCATGCAGTCATGCCCCCCACCCCACCAGTACTTGTACCTGTGAAAACCTTTCTCCATTCTGTGGATTGTCCCCAAAAAACAATATTTGGAAAAGTCAGAGTGAAAACATTCTTAAAAGCCTAAGAAAATAAAGGAAGGATAAGAAGGAATAAGAAACGCATGAAAGGCTGAGTTCACAATTCACTCCATTCAACAGTCCAAGTAAAAAGAAGAAGAAATGGGAAAAACACAATCAGAAGACTTGTAAATTCAAAATTTGAAGTGTTGAAACACTGGAAAATGTAACGAAATGTTTCATGAG